TGCCACTGGCCAAAATGCTGATCCTTTTGCCCTGGATCTCCTGTTCCTGCTAGATTTCCTCCTCTTTCTGCAGTAGTGCCTGGTTTCTACAGGCTACACTATTATGTTTTGTCTTGTGCCACCGATGTTTGTGGCAGATAGATATAGCACAGCTCCTGCCCTCAGGAGTTCTTGACTGCAGCTGGGTTAAAACAGAATGAGTAAAAAGAAGATAGAAATCTGGTGATAAAGAGAAGAAAGTGAAATGCTTTTAGGGAATAGCTTGTGCAGGTTTTTTCTGCTCCATGCTGGGAGAGTACGCTCTGTATCTCTCATTAGAATGAAGGGTCTCATCATGGAAACCACACCAGCTCATCTGGCTGAGGAAGCAAGCAGCTGTGAAGCGTGTAACAGGACTGTGAACAGGGTCTGAAGCCTTGACTTAGTCTTACCTGTGGCTGTTTATGCTGTGTGAATGGGTCATGGGACAGAACGAGAACAGGGCAAGTAGGAAATTTCCCTTCCCACAAACCAGTGCTCACTGATGCTTCTTGCTCCTTTCCACATTTTGTGCCTGGAGACTTCTGCAACCTGGAGACTTAGAGGAGAAGCCTGGTTCACGTCCACCTGCCAGGGGAAACCAAGTCATCCTTCCTCTTCAGCCAGCCAAGCCCTTTGCCTGAATTATTTACTAAACAGAGGAATGCTTCCAAGCAGGCAGGTTGATAAAGCAGGCCAAAGCTTTTGGCCTTTTCAATTGAACATTCCCATATGTATCCACTGGACACTCACAGATCATGTTTTTTTTTTTCCACCAACAAAAGCCTGAAAAGGCAATTTGCAGCTGACCAGCTGTGCTATATCCTAGGAGGGGGTTCAAACTGCACACTTCAACACACTCTGGAGACCGAGAAATTGCTCCCCAGAGAGCAAACATCATCTTATTGCACCAGAGAGTGGACTTGAAATGTGGTCTGCACTACAGTGCATGAAGTTCACAGAATGATACTACAGAGCCTGGGCACTACCCCCTGCCTTAATGCACGTAGAAAAAGGGGTTGCTTCCCAGAGAGGAAAGGTGAATGGAGTCTCTCTACTCTGCAACATCTGGAGGACAGGGGATGTGATTCCATGAGCTCTGACCCGTAACTACTATTCTGATTTAAGCATTATTTTTATTTCCTCTCTCTAAAAATAAATAGGAAGAAAACAATTGCCCTAAATTCTCCAGAACTCTTAATATAAGTTCTAATTCACATTTATTCTGTTCATTTAGGCATATGTACACATTTGGTCAAATTCATCCCTGGTAAATTGTTACTAATCCCTGTAGACATAATTAATCTAATCCTTCCAGGCAGATAGAGCAATTGCCAGACCAGTATCTATCTGCACAAGTAAGAAGCAGATCTTGCAAGTTCACAGTTGCTGCTCACCCTTGCAGTCCAAGTGAAGCTTCTTAGAGTTAGAAACTGGCCAAACTTCTTGAGACTATTCCATTTCCCTGTGAGATTTTGAATGTAGGTTGGCCTAAAATCATGTTTCTGAAGGGACAATGATTCTTTCCCATTCCGATTGTAGGAAATGTGGAGAAGGAAAAAAGATTCCAATCTCTGTCACCCTCCAGCAGTGTTAGGTTGGGCTGCATTAGGTTGGGCTCACGTCTCCTCAATCATTTTGCTCTTCCCTACATATTCTTTTAATAAAGAAAGCTCTCTCTGCGCATTCATTATTCAGTTCCTAGCAGCAGATCAGCTCCACAAGACTCTCCTGGTTGCAATCAGAAATGGCACCAATCAAACCTGAAGCTGAAATATCCCCAATTTCTTTGAACTCAGGCTCCTAGCAGACTTCAGAATTAACCCTTTGGGCATCTTCAGTTGCTTTGATTGGGTTAAGACCCTTCTGCTATTGCTTCATTAGCATGGTAAAAGCGTGTATAATGATCTAAGAGACCCTAAGCAGAGAGATAAAACCTCTAATCTTGAAATATATTGCTTCTCTGGATGAAATATGACCTGGTCTTACCTCTTAACTCTTTGTCTCCCTTAGCCAAATGCCACTGCAGGATGAGATGCGCAACACCAAGCTGTGCAGCTTACAGGTCTGTCCTTTGTGGATGGAGGGATCCTCCTCCCTCAGCTTGCCAGATGCGGGGCTGTGACCCTTGCACTCGCTATGTGAGCTCTGGGATTATACCACACGTTACCACTAGATGTCAAACTGTCCCAAATCCCACAAATGCCTCCAGCGCGGAGGCCCCGACGATGGTGATGCTGCAGCCATCTCAGAAACAGCGTCAGGGCAGACTTTAACCTTTCTCTCGCAGGAAAACGATTGACATGGGTTTAAAGGGCTTTAGCTATGGCTGGCGCCGGGATCTCTAAAGGGTACTTTGTCCATAGTTATTAACAGCTACTAACCGTGATTTTGTTCAAAACCCAAATCTACCTGGTCACACCATTAGTGAAAGAAGCAATTAATACAGGTCCATAGAGAAGCAGTTCACTTATGAGCAACAGAGGCTATATAATTTCTCTGTTCCCTCTTGGACAGCTTGAGTTGCTTTAAAGCCAAAATCAGGAAGGCAAAAAGGTGAGGAGCCTTTAGGACTGTAGCTCTAGCAGCACTTGGATGTGAAACACAGAAGTCACGAGCAACATTAGGATCAAGGATCCCTCTGCATGCAACAAAACCCACAAGAGCAGCTGATTCATTTGGATGGCTTAGTTTGGAAGTGGTGGAGGTGCTCACTTTTGGGTAAGCTGAACACTGAAGCCCCTAACAAAGGGTGTTTATTGGAAGTCCTGTGTTTCCTTCCTCAGGAAAGGTCTGTGTCACTGTTATTCTGGCCAGGTTTGAACTCACTGCCTTCCACGTGTTTGATTTCTCAGATGCATGCTTCTCTTCATCACCTTTGTGGTTAAATCATAGAATCACAGAATGGTTTGGGTAGGAAACAACCTTCAGATCATCCAGTTCCACCCCCTCTAGCTCTGTTACCACCCAAATAGAGTTGCTTCTCAGGAATGAAGAAATTCCCATCTAACTAAATGCCTCTTCTATGAAAGCTATTAGGTAAAGGATGGGATCTTGCCTGCACCATATGTAGGAGAATACATAGTTTGTTACTTTAGGCTTTTGAAAGGACACTGCTTGGGCTCTTTTTAGCCTCACCCGCATCCTTCCTGTTTCTACCAAAACCAAACACACCAAGACTCTTCTTCACTAGCATTTTTAATCTTGGCTTTGTCACAGGCTGTGTCACAGGATGTCCCACATCACCACAACATACCACATCACCACAGCATGACATGGGCTGAGAGCAGCTCAGCCCTCTCTTGTGTTGAGGAAGCGGTTGGGCTTCTCCTCCCTGTAGTTCTTCATCATCATCTCCAGTGATGAAATGAGGAGGGTGACCACGTACTCTGGATGCAGAGCCAGCACAGGCGTGTGCTCCCTCCACAGCTTAATCAGGAGGATTTCATCACCTTATTGTAACCATCTTATTTGGCAATGGTGCTTTACACTTCTGAAAGGCATAAGGCACCCAAGATTCCTCCCTGCATAGAGCCACAATCCTTTCCCTGTCCATCCTCCACATATGCTCAGTGTGCAAACAGTGTTTAGTCATGGCTCGTGTGTCCTACTGGGTCCTCCTCAGTTCCCTCCTCCTGTGGTCCTCTTCCAAGCTGATAAGAGGCCTTGAGGCACATCTCTGTAAGGACAGAGGGTCTGTTGAACATAGCATGGTGTTCTTCTGCATCCTGCACAGGGAATGGAGGCTCTGGCTGTTGTGTGGGAAGGAAAGGATGTCTTGCCTTGAAGTCCTTCAGTCAAACCCATTCAAACACTGTCTGAAGGATCACAGCAGGTCTTCTCTGGCAGTCCTGCTTCTGTGCACAGAGCAGCAGGGTGGAGAGAAGGGTTTCCTTAACCAAGCAGGCTGCAGAATGAGTGTGGTTAGAAAAGCTGCTGGGTCTGGTTACTCGTCCCCTCATCAGCCAGAACATTTCATCTGGACACACAAGTAGGGCCTCCTCAGCAAGTGTGATCTATCAAAACAAGGGGAGAAAAGGCCCTGCGCCAACAAAACCAGGCCAGAGCTATGCAACCAGACCTCCAGCACGTTTAAAAATATCTCCGAGTCTCCGTACATCCCACTTCTCCTGGCTTCCTTTCTGCCTTGCTTCTCCATGCGAGGAAGGACGCTGTAGCTAGCTGGGGTTTGGGATGTGGTTGTGATGTTTCTGTGGTAAAAGGGTGGAGTTCCCTACTTCCCTTGTTTTCCTCTTTTTCCCCATAGTACTCTGGCTCTCAGACAGTGCCTGTTCAAAGGAACTGTTGCTATTCCTCTCAATTCCCTGCCTCTCACTGGAAAGGTAAATGAAGGAGCTCAGGGATTACGGGAGCCTGCAGCAAATCCGTGCTTTCCACCAACCCTCTCATTAGAGCAAGGTGCGGCCAGCACACAATGCCGGAGGTCAGCCAAGACAAGCACTTCCCTTTGAGAGCCCTCCTTCATACCGTACCAACGTCAGGACAGCCTTTCGTGGGATTTCCTTACTGTGGCAACCCACACTTAGAGGGTGTTTAAAGGTAGGGTCCTTTTGTTTCTTTCCTGTGTGACTACCTGCTCTGCTTGCCTTTCACAGTCACCTTCTATAAGCTGGTATGGGCTGGGATGGGGACATGGCAAACACCAGGGTGCCCCAGGATAGCAATGAAATGAAGCAGCTGTGGGCAGCTTGACAATATCATTTCTCAGTCATCATTTCTCTCTCTGAGTTTTATACCAGAGGCTATACCCTGTTCTGAATATAATGAGAAAGTTGTTTCCATTTGATGGCCTGTAGTCCTATATTTAAATGATCTCCTTTCTGGTCCTTCTTTCATGTTCACTTCTCTTAAGTGAAAGATACAGCTGTAAAGGTAACAATAGTGACTTAAAATAATAACGATGATCTTCTTGCAGTCAGACATCGGCATGCTCTTGATTTTTCTCAAGCTGTACAGTCTCACTCATCACAACTGGACTGTATGCCTGAAACCATAACGAGCCAAGTACCTCCCTCAGAGTTCACAGTAAATCCACGGAGGAGAGGAAGAAACTGCAAAGAACTTGCCAGATAACAATAAAGAACCCGAGGAAATGTCAATCTGCTCCGGGATGCTCCAAAAATGGGAAAAGAAGCAAGATTTGCTGAATAAACAATTATTCTCTGAGCTCCAGGAGCCAAATAAAAGGAGGGAGAAGGATCCAGAATATGTCACAAGTAATAGAAGGTATGATGATATTGGCACAGGAGGAGCGTATTTACTAGGAGGGATGACAAAGAGGATCTGTCTCCTTACTGGCATTTTTCTGGGACAGAACAAGAGGTAAGACTCCAGAAGAGAAACTGAAGCGGTTTTTATCCACAGTCCATAGATCCTGGGGCCCCCAAGCTGAGCTGTCACTTCTGATTTTTTATACCCTACTCCCAGTGTGTGAGTGCTTTACCAAGATGTTTTATTTTCTCCCATTTCATGTTTGCAGCAACTGCTATTGTTCTGCAGCCTACAAATGAGTTCTGGGAACCCAAGGATGGCGTGAAAATCCAGAGGAGGGGAAGCGGTGCACCAGGAAAGGGCAGAGCAAGAGGTCTGATATGGGTGACAGAGGCTCCAAGGTCCTCTGGAAATGTGGCGCCTGAGTAACCCTGACGCACCAGCTGTGCTCAGATGCAGTGGCACTTCAAAGCAACGAGTTCAAAACATGTTTATAACCCTCAGGTACTGAGTGACTGTGATTTCACATGCCTGTAATAAGCAGTAGGTACTGTTAGACCGTGGTGAACAGAAACAATGTTGTTTCATTGTTTGTTTCCCTTTTGTTTGCCGGCTGCTATACACATACTACGAGTTGAGGGTCTCCACTATCTGCTTCTGCTCTGGCCATGAAGAAACCAGCAAACACATTAGAAACTGTGTTACTTACTGCAAAGGTTAACCTAAAGAGATGATCCAGCTCGAACTCCTTTGTGGGTAGCCTAGATAGTTTACAAAGGGAGACAAATGTGAGTTGGCAAGACCTGAGGTATCTTAGAAAAGCATTTCTGAAGTTTCCACAAGACTGATGTGTGATAAATGTCTGTTCAAGATGGAGTGATTTAAAAATACCAAATAGCAAGGAAAAAAAAAAAAAAAAGATGATTGGAGCAATCTATTTTAATTATGCTTCATATTTGTAGTTATTTCCAAAACCCCCTCAAAATTACCAGAAAACAAAACTAAACAAAACTAAAAAGGTTGCTTCCTGTTAGCTGGGAATTGAAGCATCCTGATTTGAAACTAAATATAGCCCTTCCGCTAAATTTGGTAAGTTTTTGCTAGCCTGGGCTCTCTGCACATGTAAATAGAACAATCTAATCGCTCGCAATTATTCAGATCCATAATTTGCATTTAGTTATGTTAGAAAATAGTGAATGGCTTTGCTTATTTACATGATAATTATTTTTTGCTCCCCTTTGATTTGTGTCAAGCTATTTTGGGATGAGAATTGGAATTCAATTAAGATGCAGAAAGCCAGCGTTTTAATTCTGCTTTTTATTAGATAATGAAGCCACACAGTAGCTGTGCAGGATATACAAGGCAAGTTGATCAAAACTGATTAGGCAAGGAAAGGACATATTATCTGTAGGTAGTGAATTGAATTGTTTCTTTTTGGTCAATATGTCTTACGAGGTTTTAGAACTAATGGGTCTCAGCCTTTCAAGCCTCATTTAGAGTGAGACCAAAGAAGAAAATCAAGTCTTCCTCGGTTTTCCAGCTTGCTATGAACTGTGTAGCGCTGATCAGAACATTAGGTATCGAATCAAAAAATACTAATAATGAATAAACGGAACAAAACCTCCTAGAATAGCCAGAAAGGGCTGCAAATTGTAAGGAATGGAGCTTTTGGGCTTCAGCAAACTTCTCCTAGACTTTGCACTGGTGACGCGCCTCACTTCGCTGGTGTGAGATCAGGCGTTTAATACACTGTGTCAAAAATTCATGTATTTTTGGGCAGCTTTGCTTTCTAAAAGGAAGATCCATTCCACTTAAAGGCCAAACCCATGATGTTTTAAATGGTTCTGGCTCCTCCAGAGCAGGGTCCAACCATGGACCATCAAAGGCAGGTTTCCTCAGAGAATCAGCATCACCTCAGCAGCCGTTTCCTTGCCATCCCTGAGCTTCTCAGTGTGTCATTCATCCACCTTCTTCTTCCCCTGCTCCTGCCTGCTGGTAAGCTCTTCTCTTTCCTGTTCAGCTGGAGCTCAGGACTTCCTCCACCTGGCCACAAAAGAAACCCACGTGTGAAATCTCCTTGGCCGTTCAAGCAGTCTCCCAGTGGGTTTCTCTATAGATAAGGGGCTGCAGCGCTATCTTGGGGAGAGTCAGAAGAGGGAAGTGGCTGCAGGCCAATCCCTCTCACATCTCCTAAGCAACCACTAAAATAGATGAACAGTCTTTTCATAATGGCATCATGATAAAGTGATTTGGCAAAACGAGAATATAATTTCCTGTTGACTATTAAAGCTCCACAAATGATCTTTAGTCACTGAGCACAGTGGATCTGTGTTCTGCAATAAACAGCAAGCATGAAATAACCCCCTATATTATCGCAGCATGAAGCAAAAGGATCCCAGATTTCTCAGCCAGCCTGCGTGCACCACATCAGGAGCTGCTATAGAGACAGGCCTTTGTTTTTCAGCCTGCCATCTCAGTTTTTCCAGGCTTTTAGGGGCTGCACCTTTAAAAGTTCCCTCTACACTAATGAAGGTTGTAGCTTTTTTTGGTGCTAGTTTATAGTGAAAGCTGTGAGTCTTACAAGGACAACCCCTGATCCAGGAGCTGGGACTTTCAGACAGTTGCTATGTCTTGTAATAGTATTACAAAGCAGAAAACCCAATGACCATGAAACTGTCTTATTTCCTATGACAAGGGCCATCCCAAGTTGCCTCCTTCAGTTTTATTAGTGACCTTTTGAGTTACTCAAGTGATACGTTAAAGTGCAACAGTGCAGGGTCCTGCTTACTGTATCTTATAGACCCTGCCTGCTCGGGCTCAGTCTGAAATGCAGCCTTCCCTTGCTGCGTTAATTCCTCCCTTTTACCTGATTTACCTGCCATAACACTTGAGGCACTCCCTGTACCCTCCACTCATCTATGGTTTCTGCCTAAGACTGCTGTCCTACAGTGCCTGTGAATCAGTGCTGCGTGCCCATGGCGTCAAAATACTATCTACTTATTTCTCCCCCCAGTGCATTTTTCCTGCCAGCATGCATTCTCCTAAGCTGTTCTTAAAAGTTGGTTCCATTTTCAAGTTGCAAATACTTGATATCATTACCAAAAACTGTAACTCAAACCACTGGATTCTTCCCAGCGTCTCTTAAACTTGCCAGAGAACAGTCTGTATGTGTCAGTCAGTGGAGTGAGAGTGTGACACTGGCACTGGGGGGTACATGTACTTCCCGTGTTCTCCTTGGAGATTTATACCCCTCTTCTCAGTCAGGATGAGCAGATGTGGTTTGGGCAGATGTGTTTTAGCTGATGTTTCTCTTGCCCTAAATTTTGCTCTGATTCTGGTACTCAGCACCTTTCTTCCCTGGCTGGAAATGTTGACGTCTATTATTTTGGAGGGGTTTTTTTGCAAGCTCTGACTTATGGGCCTAAAGGAAAACCCAAAACAGATCTAACCGAAGGATGTTCCTGGAATATCCCTCAGGGATACACTTCCTTTTCTGGCGATGGAGGGTTCGGCTCTGGAGGCCAAAAGAAGCAACAGAGTTGGATGCAAAACTGCAATCTCCAGGCTCTCATCATTTAGGCTGCTGTGGATCAGGCAGACCCCTCTGTCTTTAAGAAGTCTGTTTATTCCCAGTACTCCCTGTTGGCTTTTTGTTTGTGTGGTTGGATTTTTGTTTCCCCCTCCTCCTCTGTTTTTCCCTTTAGCTCCATTTGTGTTAAAGAAGTAAAAGGAATCTTAATGCAGCCCCTGCTCTGCACACCATTAGGGCTGGGGCCGCTTTTTCTCTCCTTCTACAGTGCTGATGTTGTAGAAAGTGGTAGCCAAACACCACAAAAGCACAGCAAAGAAACACGGGGTGAGTGAGAAGGGCATCTGACCGCACCTGCAACCCTATATGTACATGAGCAACTTCTACTACAATCAGGGCAGATAGCAAAGGCTTTCCAGGAACAACCTGCTGCTAAAACACGCTCTGGCAGGAATACAGGATTAGGGGTGAGGGAGAACAGAGAGCAGATCTTACATTGCTCCTTGCCATCCTGATCTGTTGCCTCTTGGCATTGCCTCCATGTCTTCTGACACCTCTTCAAAGTCAGTCCCTGGGGCAGGGCCATGCCGCAGGGCTCTTAGCATGGGGAAAAAGCCCAAGCTGGAGGTTGAAGCAGGAGGGACAATTGCTTCCCATTTCCCAGTACAGTATGTTACAAGGGGCCGTTGCAGAGCTTGGCTGCCTGACAGTTTCATTTGCAAGAGCATTGGCCCCTTTCCAAGCAATTCTTTCAGGTCTCATTGTTTGGTAGGAAACAAACAAGGGGAACAGCACTGGGTGGGCACACCAGAAGAGGGTCTAAATATAGCAGGGCAGCATTAGGGAGCCAGGCTTCTTAGGCAAAGCTTACTCTAAAGATAACAAAACCCCTCTGCTAGTCTAGAGAAAAGGCACCAGTTCTGCTACAGGCACCCCAGTTACTCAGGAGAGGGCTCCCTGCATGTCCCAGTCATATTGGCCAGCTACAACGATGCTACATTAGCCATAAAAAGTTGAAAGCAGCCCATTAGGCTGTTTTAAATCAAAGCACAGAGAGAATATTATTCATTCCAGCCTGAAGTCTTCTGGGTACTTTCTGCTGTAATTCACACCCAGTATAACTTCATCCTGAGTCAGGAAATAATCTGAACTACAGATTCAGACATCGAGGTGTCAGAGTGAAGCCAAGCCAAGCCCTTCTGGCCTGTGATGGAAAGAAGATAACTTGGTGCCACCTCTGCCTGGAGGTGTTGAGACTCAGCAGGATTCAAACTAAATAATGTTTCTGACAGCAGTGCAGGGCTGGTGACATTTCTGAAAGCAGAGGAAAAGAGAAAGCAAGCGTGCCAAAGAAGTCTAAAAACATCCTTCACAACCTGGCACGTCCCCATAGAAAACACCTCCCGCCAGAACAGCCAGGGTGCAGGTAAGGAAATGTTAAAGGAGAAATGTGGTTTTCCCTGAGGAAGTATACAGAGAGCTTTAATATTATACATCCTGAGAGAGAGAGCACTCAAATCCCAGGCAGAAGGAATCTCTGCACATAGCTGATTTCCCTGCTTCAGCATTTGAGAGCACAGTCGAAAGGCAAGTTGTTTTTCCACTTAACCAAGGCACTGTGAAGAGGGATGTGGCGCAAGGCAGGAGAAGTAAGCCTAGAAGAAAGGGGGGATATGGTGAGCCTTGCAGAGAAGACAATAGGAAATCATTAGTGCAGACCCACGAGTGCTTTCCCTATGGGGATTTAGCTCAGTGAGTAGAAATAAACAACAAATGTGCTGGAGCCTGCCACTTGCAAGAACACCCGGCCTTGCCTGCCACAGCTGCTAGCACTCTGCTCATCACAGCTCACAGCCTTCTTGTAGAGGTGTTTGCAAAGGGAACATGTGGCTTTTGCAAGCTTCTATTTTCTCTTTTCCCCCTTCCTGACACCAGATCATTCTTTGCTTTGCTAGAGACAGAGAGAAGGGGTAAGGTAGTAGTTTGTCCTCTCTGCAGATCAACATCATAGCTGGTGAATCTTCATAGGAACTCCTTCTTGTGGTGCTAGACTTTCTTACATGACAAAAGGAGTCTTAGTTGAAAGCTTATGCTAAAATAAGACATAACTCTCTCATAGAAAATATGAGTCTCACAAGTGATCAAGAGAAGACCTCAGAATAAAAGAAGCCAGGTTTTAAGTGACTTCTAAATATAACATATAACAGGCTAGCTTTTATCCCTAAAATAAGGAGCATCCCCTGAGCTATTTGTTGTTTGGTGGTTTTGTTTTGTGGTTTGTTGTTGGTTGTTTTTTTTTCCCAACAAATAAGGTTATTACAAAACAGACCTGGTCTTCTACACAAAGTGATCAAAATAGACGATAGCTGGAGTGAACCCCTAAACTCCCTTCCAGCTTAGTCATTCCTTAGAATAGAGATTCTTTCTCAGTTCTTAGCCATTAAACAATGGAAATGCAATAGACTGCTGGTTTTATGCAGTCAGGTTAACCCACAACTTCCTTCTCCCATGGCAACGTGATTAGCAGAACGGGTAATAAAAGAAGGACATCTGAAGGTGGAAAACCAGGAAAGTGGGTCTTGGTGTCAGTGATCTCTGAGTGGTGGTGAGCTGAGCTATTCAGAAATCACACATGTAGTGTCCTTTATGGTAGACTACCAATGACGATATTTGGTAAAATTGAGAGCAGAAGAGACTAAATAGTTTCTGTTTTCACATTATAAACCTCTGGCTCAACAGAGTTCTCATTTCTACTAGAACAGCTGTTATAGAATAAAGGGTGGATGAAGCGTCTACAAAACCAGCGGGGTGCAAATGTGGAGGAACAGATACTGAAACTCTGCTCTCCCTTAGGCAGCGCTAGTGTAGCTGCTGGACACAGTGGTTTCAGCAATGGGTGTCTGAAGTGATAGATAGATCTCCTCAGGATTTTCTTCCCTGATTGAGTTTTCTCACATCCTAGAGATCCTGGCTGTGCTTGAGAATCCTGGTTGTCACTTGTGTTCACAGGCTGGTAAAACCTGAGAAGGACTGGGCTTGTTATTGAAGCATCTCCCAAGTTCATAGGTGCCACTGATTTGACATTTTGCTTTGCTATGAAGTCATAGTGTAGTTTTAAGCAGATTGTTTCA